TTGAATTTTGAATCGCGATTCTCAAAATGACAACATATGGTGGTAGACCAAGTACAGGCACTTCAAATGAAGCGCCCAAGGACTATGAGGTACTTTATCATTTCTGACATAATATTTGACCAAATTATTTTATTTATAACGATTTTAAAAAAAACGCTCACATTTTAAAAGGTTCCACACGGTCCAAATGATTCTGTTTCAGAAGTTTCATTTTCACCAGTAGCAGAGTTTTTTGCAGTATCTTCGTGGGATACTTATGTAAGTGCTTTATAAAACTATGTAAATTTATAGATTAATAATATACTATTATTAAAGTTGATAATTAATAGGTTAGGATCTATGAAGCCAATTCAGCTACTGGAGCAGCCGTTGGCAAAGCTCTTTATAATCATGAGAAACCCGCATTATGCTGCGCATGGAGTAAAGTATGTAATTCTTTTCTTTTTCACGTGTGAGTACCGTTCTTGCTAGAGAGTATTGGCAAAAATTAAAATTTTTAAAGAAAATTTAAAATTGGGTACAATTTATAATGTTTATATCATATACATCTGTTGATTAATTTTTTTTAATAATAGGATGGAACTAAGGTTATTTCAGGTGGTGCAGATAATGCAGGAAGGTGTTTTGATATTACTTCTCAGCAAGTAGGCCAAATAGCTATACATGATCAGCCTATTAAATGCATTAAATATATCGAAAATCATAATCTTGTGTTAACTGGAAGTTGGGATAAGACACTTAAGGTTCGAAAATTATAATTTACATTTTTTTGTTTGATCATAAAATTTACCAGATAAATATATATTTATAAAATAGTATTGGGACATGCGCTCTTCAACACCTGTACTTACTGTTAATCTTCCGGAGCGATGCTATGCTTTGGACGTTACCTATCCTGTATTAGTTGTAGGATGCGCTGAAAGGCACGTCCAAATGTTTGATCTTAGTAAAAATCCAAGTACCCCAGTCAAGGTATGATAATTGGTAAACCATTCTTATTTCATAATTTTTTTTTTTTTGTAATTTATTTTCATTTATCAATTACTAATGTATTCAATTTCTATAAAGAGCATTGTAAGTCCCTTGAAATGGCAAACTCGATGTATTTCAACCTTTTTAAATCGCACTGGATATGCTATAGGAAGTATTGAAGGACGTGTTGGGATACAATATTTTGAAGAAAAAGATAATCAGTAAGCTGAATGATTTATATGAAATGTTATTAAGTTGACCTAATTAATATTGTCATAATGCTTACTTATTTAAAAAAATTTGCAGGTCTAGTTTTTCTTTTAAATGTCATCGAGAACAAAATCATGTACATGCGGTCAACGCTATTTCTTTTCATCCTATATATGGCACATTTTCAACTGCAGGAAGTGATGGTACTTTTAATTTCTGGGATAAAGATTCTAAACAACGTCTTAAAGGATTCAGTTCGATTGGAGGTCCCATTACTTCTACTGCTTTCAACCGTAACGGCTCTATTTTTGCTTACGCTTTAAGTTACGATTGGAATAAAGTAAGTTGAATCATTCATAACCTTAGATAAAAAAAAAAATCATTTAATATATTTATATAATTCACGCCACATATAATCAAATCGAATTTAGGGCCTTATATCACAACCACAAAGAACAGCCGTTTACTTGCACGCCGTGAAAGATGAAGATGTTAAACCGAAGCCACCTAAAAAGCGATAGATATTCAATTACAGAATAATGTGCATTATTTGTAATAATTATAAAAGAATCCATCATCAGAACAAAAAAATAATTATATGCTTTGAACAAATTTGAAATTAAATATTGTATTTAAATTTTTGAATGTAGCATTGCTACTCTGTAAAAAAAAAAAAAAAAAAAAAAAAAAATAATAAGTGAATTTATTGTATCACGGGTTAGAAAATTAATTAAATTACCTATAATGGGCCCCGTAATAAAATGATTTAATTTGCTACGCATTTGTAATTCAATCATAAGTTTTTCCGCAGAATTCCGAACGTCCATTGATAAGTTTACCTATTATGGTATCAATAAATACGCGTTTTTCTCGTCTCTTTTTCTAGTTCTCCCTCTGAAAATAAGTTATCAACATAATGGGAGAACCAAGGTCTAAGCAATTTGAAAATATATACTATGGTCTTTCTAATATTCCAGGCATTCTTAAGCTTGCTCCAAGTGGACTTGGCTGGAAGACTTCTGATGCAGAAAACATCGTAACGATTTCTGCAGAAGAGTTCAAAAAAATGCAATGGATGCGTGTCGCTCGAAATTATCAACTACGCATTGCATTAAAAAATGGAAACGCAGCTAGATTTGATGGATTTAATAAAGACGTGTGTAAAATTCTTTAGTTGTGTTAATTCTTTAACCGTTTTAATTTGGGTATTTATTTGATTGTTACATGTAGATGTTTGATGCTGTAAGAGAACTTGTTCGAGCTAATTATAAATTACAGCTCGAGACAAAGGAACTCAGTGTTAAAGGTTGGAATTGGGGTAAAACCGAATTTCAAGGTAATTTTTATTTATAATAAGTTAAAATTGTTTGTCATTATTTAATAACATTTATTGATACTTTAAAACAGGATCACAGCTCCTTTTTAACATTGGTAGTAAAACAGCATTTGAGATTCCTTTAATTCAAGTTGCAAACAGTAATCTTGCCAATAGAAATGAAGTCAATGTTGAATTCATGCAACCAGATCAGTCAGGGGAGACACAGAGTAAAAGTAAAAAAGCTCCAATGCATGAATTAGTAGAAATGAGATTCTATATACCTGGAACTACGATCATCAAGGATGAAAACGAAAAAGAAGAAGAAAAAAAAGAAGGAGAAGAAGAAGAAGAAGATCTTGAGGATGGAGAGGAAATGAGTGCTGCTTCTGTTAGTATTAGAAAAGTATCATTAACGTTTAATATCTTTGTTACTAAATATGAAGTCAACTTTTATAGCTATTCTATGAAACTGTCAAGGATAAAGCAGACCTTGGGCAAGCTTCTGGAGAAGGGCTTGCATTGTTCCAAGATATTCTTCTCCTTACACCTCGGTAAGAAATTTGATTATTCCATAATCTTGCAATATCACTACATTTATAATATTGCGATACTTACTATTTTATTTTATTAAATAATAAAGTGGTCGATACGATATAGAGGTGTTTCCAACTTTTTTCCGGTTACGGGGAAAAACATATGATTATAAAATACAAATGAAAAGTGTTGTAAACTTGTTTTTATTGCCAAAACTAGACGAGGTCCACGAACTATTTGTTGTAGGTTTCCTTTCCTTAAACATATTTTTTAAAAAGAGATTGTCTAAAGATATTTTCCATTTTTTTTCAGATTGGACTTGATCCACCATTGAGACAGGGTCAAACACTTTACCACTTTCTAGTTTTGCAGTTTAAGCAAGATGATGAAATTGATTTGACCTTAAATATTGAAGAGTGATTGTTTTATTATTATTCACGGATTTTTATCTTATGACAGAATTCAAACTAAAAAAAAATATTTTTTTCTAAATATAGGGATGATTTAAAACGAGATTATGGAGAAAGATTATTACCCAAATATGAATGTCCTATTCATGAAGCAGTAAGTTTGGTTTTTCAAGGACTCACTAAAAAGAAGATAAACAGACCTTCAACATACAGAAAGTTAGTCTCCCTCTGATCTTTTTCTTTTTCATTTCTTTATTTTTTAAAAAAGAAAATATTTATAACTTTATTAACATTATCTATAACCTTCTTTTATAGTAAACATGACGAAGTGGCCGTAAAAGCTTCTTTGAAAGCGAATGAAGGTTACCTTTATCCGCTTGAAAAGTGCTTCTTATTTGTTCCAAAACCCCCGACATATCTCCCCTTTTCGGAGATTATGAGCGTCACGTTCTCTAGGTATGATTTTATTTATTTAAAGCGAAAATATATTGACATTAATCATAATAATGTAACTTGTGAGATAAATGTTGACAACTTTTTGCCATTTACACTTTAGAGTATCTGCGAATCTAACAAAAAAGTCTGATCTAGGAGGACCCAGAACGTTTGATATGAAATTCAATATGAAAAGTGGTGTAGAATTTGGGTTCTCCAGTCTTAATCGGTATTTCTATAAATGAAATCATTATTATATGTTACGCTAATATACAAAATTAATCGTTACTTAACATTTACCTATTAGAGAAGAATATGAAGATTTAGAAGTATACTTGAGATCTAAAAATATAAAAACTATCAAGGACACAGCGGACGAAGTATGTAATGGTTTTAAAGTTAAATTTTGATGTATTTATTTTATTTTATTTTTTAAAAAAACAAATGGTTGATTTTAATTAATGATTATTATTATTTTAAGACTGCGTTATCATATTCTGAGTTTATGAAAGAGCTTGATGATGATGATGAAGTTATGCCTACTGCTAAACGACGCAAGAGCGAATCGGTTGATCCGGAGGACGAAGATTCAGAAAGTGAGTTATTATTAGTAATATATAATGGTTTATTAAATTTTTATGTAACAACTATTTTCCGTTAATAGTGGATGAAGATTTTATTGCCAGTAGTGAAGATAGCGATGTGGCAGAAGAGTACGATGAAAACTATTCAGGTAGTGATTCATCGTCGGATGGTGGTAATTCAAAGAAAAAAGGAGATAAAAGAGCCTCAAAGCCAAAATCTAAATAGAGATAACAATTATTATTGTAATATTGTATAGTAATTTCAAATTAAATAAAACATTTCATGCCGATTTATTTACGTAATATAAAATTTAATTTGTCATGTTATAATAACTCCGATATGTTTCACAAGTTTCACAATTCAAAACAAACAGGATTTAGTAAAATCGTCCCAAAAATAAAAATTCTAAACCTGTAAATGTAAAATTATGCAGATTTGTTGATGATAAATGAAATAAATAAATAGTTACATTCACTCAAAAATTTAAATTTTTTTTTTTTTTGAAAAAACAAAAAAAAAAGGAAAAAATGTTCCAAATGTATCTCGCTCGTATACTACATTCGTTATTAATATTCATCTTAATAGGAATATTTGCATTTAATTTGTTTAAATCTTATCAAGGTTATAACGAAATAACACAAAAAATTCAAGTAATAACTTTAGATAAATTGGTTCCACCTGCGTTAACATTTTGTACAACAAAACCAGTGAATTATGACTTTGATATAAGACTATATAATGTATCGGTTAACAGAGGTTTATATTTAAAACCATATGCCCCGGAGGAAGACGAATTAAAATTTATTAGAAACCAAGTATCACGTTGTTGGGTACTAAGTCCACCCATGAATGATGATAGAGCTATCATTAAATTTCCTCCACCAACTTCAAATGTACCTGATTTGGAATTTATAACCGAAAGGACATTTTCTCCGGATGGTATAGAAAATTCTCAAGCTCCATTATTAGTTAATATATTTGATCCTTTACAAAGTAATAGTTCATTCGACTTTAACAGATTTTTGTTATTGGCACCTGAAGTTAATAGAGCTATACAATTTACAAGGACCGTAAATCTTGACTTAAAAGGAAATGTTAAGAGGACCGATGTTAAATATAATATTGTCGATGAATATAGAGCTCCCACAGATTCATCCCCTGGTAGATCTATTAATCGATTCACTTTTCGTGCGGGTAGGCAATTGTAATTCCATTTACTTCATTTTTTCTTTTAATTCTGATAATAATACTAATTCTAATCTTTTAATCATAGTTTCATTTGATGTAGTTCAAACACAAGATGTACAGATAGTAACAATCTGGTCAATATTAAGCAATTGTTTTACATTATTAGGTGTATTAATTGGTAGTGTATATTTCCCATTCGTTGGTCATGGTAAATATAGACCGTGGGGTTATATAAATCGATTGATTGGTTATTATCCTATTGAGCATATAAAAAGATCTTATTTTGACAAAGATTCAAGGAATGATTTAGAACAAAATAATGTTCCTAAACTTGATGAAAGGTTGGAGATCTATTTAGAGAAATTTGGACGCTCTAGATATGAATAGATAATTATTTATTATGTTGTTATAACATTATTTATTTTTTATTTTATCATCCATAAATACATATATTTCTGGTACCATTATTTAAACGAGGACTTGTTTAATTCCGAATTACAAAAGTCTCTCTCTTTTTGTTTTTAATTTTTCAATCACAACATTAAATTATTTGATACGTTAAATAAAAGAATTATATTATATCAGACTTAAATTTATTTAAAAATAGTTTTGATCTTTCTAATATTGACGTTTCATTAACATATAAACGTTTTGTCCAACGTGAATATTTTGCACATGACGAAAATCTCCTTCCAATGCCATCAGCAATCCTCCAAAAGACATATAAACCGCCCTAAAATGTATCATTAAGAAAGTTTAATTACGCGTCTTCCTTTCCCCCTCCCAAAAACCATGTGCATACTTACACTTTGCTTCTTTTTTCTTCATCATACTTATAAACTTTACCGTACATGATATATTCATAATCATCACTTAAATCTCTATCCATAGAAGTTTTTTCTTTCCAAGAAGGTCGTTCTGTTTGATCACCTTGAGTCATAATGGGGAATGGCAGTATGGCTTCTTCACTCTGTGCTATATTTGCTGTATCTAATGATAATGATGTTGTTAACATTATCATTACTTTATCCCCTATATCCAATGGATATAATTCTATATTAATATCTATTGTTAATTCCATTTCTAAATTCTCTCCTCTGCCAGTGAACCGTGATACTTAATACCAGAGGTAAATGAATTAGAAGTGAATTTAAGGAAATAAAAAAGCTGAATTACGGGTGTGTATTACATACCACGATCAAATTTTTTGCCTTCTTTGTCCATATCATTAATCGCGAATGTATCAGTAAACAGTATATAATTCTTTGCTTTAGGTAATGTTGCCATTATTATAAATCTTTATTACAAGAAAAATACGAATCTTTTTCATTTTATAATATTGATGGTCACCAATGCAATAACTGTACTCGCGAATGGATATAATCATTTGATCTGTGTAACAACAAAATAGGATTTTTCACGTTTTCTTACCTAAACTAAAAAAACTTGCACACCAAAGATTTTTATTCTCATCTGTATTGAAGAATCGACAGACAAAGCCTCATACTTGATTGAAGGCCAACTTTAAAACCGGTATATAACTTGCAAAGCAGTTGAAATGTTTGTTTTTCTACCTAAAACCATAGACATTTCATTTCATTTCATGACTATTATTTTTTGTTGTTTGTGTAAAATTACTGGTGGCTTATACTTTTTATTATAGATGGGACGCTTACCAAGAAAGGAGACAATAGGGATGTTCAACAGCCCCAAACAAATTTAGAAATTTCTAGTTATAGAAAAGTCTAATCGAATAATTTTAAAAGGAAAATGAACTTTGAGATCCTCAATTCCCGAATAAATTTATGATTTATTCCATTAATATATTATCGTTAGAAAGTAAAGTATAGCTTCAATAAAACAAAAATCTTCTCTAGAACTGGCAAATTTATTGGGACTTTAGGATAGTTTGACATCCCAGGAGACAACGAAAATTTCCACAAGTTGCGCCAAATCCATTATAGAATTACACTTAGAAAGTAATACAGCTCTGGATTCAGATAGAAAAATGAACAAATGGATGATTGGAGGAGTCGATCTAGGCTAATTATTATGGTTATTTTTGCTGTTGTCTATTGATCTCTTGATAATCGAATATAATTTATCTAGGAAGGGATTTCGATCCATAATTTTGAAAATTTTTACTACTTGTAGTGAAGAATATTAGAAGGTTTGATAACATCTTCCTTTTCAGAAAATTCATTTTCTATTTTATCAAGCATATTAACTATCTATAAATTCTATAAATGATATTATTTGGCATATTCTTAATAATTTCTCATTGATATAACACATGTACTTTTGTCTTGACATTGTTTTTGAAGCAAAATCAGAACTGTAATATAGTATATTATGAGAATTGGCATTTCTCAATATAGTAAAAATAATGATATCACAAGATTAGTATGATATATACACTATTGATTTAAACTTTAATATTTTTTAATGATTATTGTTATTTTAGAAATATATAATTGTAGAGGTTTTTTTCTTATATTAGATAATAAAGATCAGTATCAACTTAAGATATAAAATGTATTAATATATAATAATTTATCTAATACAATTAAAAGTGATATAAGTTATAAAAATTACTATTGATTAAATATAATTACAAGAAAAATTTATAATAGTTGCAATATCAATAAAATTATATTAAAAATAGTTATCATAATTTTAAAAGATCATTAATATATATTTATTAAAATATTTTATACTTAAAGATCATTAGTAATCAGTAAATAAAATTCAAGTCAAATGCTTATTATATACAGAGGGTGGACAAAAGTTTTTGAATACCTTTATAAATGCAATTTAACAAATTTTTATCATATAATTATGATATTATATTGCAGTTATATAAATGTCTATTGTTTATTTATATAATCAAAATAAAAAAATCATGTTATTTTTATTTTTTTGACTTAATTTACTTAATCTCTACCAAATCGAAAAATAATGAAACAAAATAAAAAATTAACCAAAGAATAACATAGAGTCATATTTTACTTGACCAGCTTAATGTCCTGATTTTAATCCAATTGAAAATTTATGGGCTGATATTAAAAAAAGCATTCATGCATATAAAAAATTACCATTGAATCTTGTTAATCTCGACTGATATGTTAAAAAGGCATGGTGAGAAATTCTAATGTATACTATTAAAAATTTAGTCAATAGCATATTACAACGAATTCAGATTATGATTGTAGCAAAGGGAGGCCCAACTAAGTACTAAAGTTTAATATAAAATGTATGTCTTAACTAACTCTAAATAAAATAATATTAGATCTTTACTATTAATACTAAAGAATTATAAGTATTATATTTGGTGAAAAAGTATCTAGAAATTTTTGTTTACCTTCTGTAATATACAAAAAAATCACATACAATTTGCAGAAAATAAATACAATTTATATATAAATATACTAATATTTTTATTTTCTAAAATGAAAGTTATGCAATATACAAATTATAATTACATATAATTTGCAGAAATCAAAAGTAAGTTATGTTTGCAAATTTCACAAATAGATTTTATATACAGTTAATAATATTATAATATAATATCTTTATCTTATATTATTTATTAATATAAAATTATTTATTAATAATAAGGTTGAATCAATTTAATTATTTATTTATAATATTTTATCTATAAAAGTTTAGAGGAAAAAGAAAGTTAAATAAAAAAGTTTTATATAAATCAAGTGATCAAAATTTTTTATTGAAATTTTATAACTATATATAATATTATTATTTATTTTTTATTTTTAATTATCCTTTAATTAACTTACTTTTTCAGATATTTATAATGATTTTTTCATTTTTATATAAAAACTACATAAAGATATATTAATTTAAAATTTTCTTATAAAGATTGAGATAAAGTAATAAATCTCTATTTACATTACACAATAATATTTTTAGCTTTTTTTTATAAAATAGGAAATAATTTAATAAAGAAATTCAAATTTAACAAAAAATATTTAAGATAAATTATAATTGTTTAGAAAAATTAGTAATTTATATATATAAATATAATTCTATAATATATTATTTAAATCTTGCTTTATTATTTTGTTAATAATAAATTACTATAAAGATATTATATTTTTTATAAAAATTGCATTTTACATAATCTCTCTAATTTTAGTAGATATAAAAATATTATTTGATGTTAGCTCAATTCTAGATTTTTTACTAATTAAAAAAGACAAAAAATTTTTGTTATAGATTTATTATATATATTTAACTAGATAACACTCTTATAAGAGTGTTATTCAGTTGCGTTATAATGTTATCTAGCTACAAGTATAATGTTACCTAGTTACTATTTTAGTGTTCTGTGGTCTTTTATTGGCTTGTAGCTATCTGCTTGTTTTCATTGCTTTGTAGCCTTTTTATTGCCTTGTAGCTATCTGCTTGATTTTATTGCTCTGTCCTCTTTTTAACGTTAAAGAAACATCTTTTCGTTTACATTCTTCTATACCTTTTTTATTAATAAAGAGCTATCTATTTGTTTGCCTGCTTTTGCGTCTTTTTGGATGCCTGTTAAAATGTTGAAAGTGCTTTCCTTCTTTACCTATTTTGTTGCCTGCTAGAATGCTGAAATATATTAATAAAAAAATTTCTTGGCAAAGTGATCGGCATTACAATTTGTAACGTATACGTAAATTTTCAAAAATATTGGGTATACTGTAGGCGTACTGAGCTTGGTTGCTGAGTTGGTGACCCTCGTAAAATATTTAATAAATACATTTATTTTATAAATGATCACAAATTGGAGCACTGAATTGAGAACTCCGTTAACAGTATTAACGATCGGAACGCTTTGGAAATTTCAAATGATATGTGAGAAATCCTTCTAGATGATCCAGAATCGGTGTATGCCTAATCAAATCTGGCTATACTACTTTCATGCTCTTTTTCTCAACACTAGCCTTAGATTATATCGCTTTCTACATGTCTTGTTTCGCTATGTCCAAGAAAGGTATACAATTTGAAAGATCGAAGCTGATGCCATTTTACAACCCAACTATTGCCTATTAGTTGTTGGTATATTTATGCCGATTTCGCGTCCTGAAGTTAAAGATGCGATATGTATTATTGTGGCTGGCTCATTTATACCATACCTGAGTACATGTCTAGAAAGATGGAGCCTTCTTCCAATTTTTATATAATAATTCTGAAGAAGGCTCCACATTTTGATGCATATCGGCTTCCCTTTCATTTACAATTTGTTGACTAAGTTTGCTATCACTTTTTTATTACATCTATCAAAAAAAATTAATTAAACATTTTCAAATTTCACGTTTCAGAACTGGTGATATATTTATAGTCAGTTGGTTAGAGTATTAGTGGTGTGATTTGTATTATTGTGGCTGGCCTATTTATATCATACCCGAATACATATCTAGAAAAGTGTAGCCTTTTGCCAATATTTATATAATAGATTATGCAGAAAGCTACATTTTTTAGGGTATATCAAGTTGTATTTCTTTATGATTTGCTGACTAAGTTTGCTATCACTTCTTTATTGCATTTATCGAAAAAAATATAATTAAACATTTTGGAATTATATTAGAGTATATAAAGCTTTTCTTACTGTCAACATGTATACAGTCAAATCTCGATATACTGATACAATATATAACGATATTTACTTATACCGATAATTTTTTTCCTCCCTATTTTACTATTAATAAAAAAACCTTGTTATATCGATATCTTATATTATTTCGTGATATAACGTATACTGATATTATCTTTTAGTCCCATATATAGTAATATATTAGAAAATCTGATTTATAAATCGATAAATCAATATACTAACTATTTAAGGTTAGATCAAATGCATGATGCTTAATTTTTCTTTATTCTCTTTCAACAATGTTAGACAAAAGAAAAATGACTCAACAACCATTTCAGCTGAGAAAACGAGTTACTTTAACAAAGCACAAAAACATCAACTTTGTTTGGACTTTCAAAAAAAACCACAGCCAACCCAAGAACAACTTGCTATTCAATA